CCACCGTCAGTGCGGCTTTCGCACGACGACTCGCGCCGGAAGCATTGAGCACATCTGCGTGTCGCTGATCCCAAAAGTAGAGCATAAATGTGAACACGATCGCAATACTGAGACAGAACATGAAGAATACCTCAAGGCACAGGTAACCCTGTGGTTCGGAACGGTAATGTACGGGAAACAGGGGACCATATCGAGGAGGAGCATCATGTGAGACAGATATCCGAGGGCGAGGAGGATGGAATCAGAGATTAGGAAGGGACGGAAAGAAAAGGAAATTTCGTTCACATTTTATTCTGACAGCCAGATGTTAGAGCTAAGACACACACACACAAGCGAAAGTATCACGAACGGTAGTTTGAGATAAATTTCATAACCGTGAGAACCTACTGTGACAGATGTTTCAGAATATTTGAGGAGCTAATCATGCCAAATTATCACAAATGGTTTAAACTGAAAAACATCATCATGAGGTTTCCCTCATACCTAGTCGACCCTTTTGTATTACACACTTTTAGTGTGATGAACAGTAGACGGGGCGAACGCCATCGTCACGAAGACCTGCTGCTCCGTCATGGAAACCAGTAACCTAAGCCCCGGGACAACAAAGCTGCCTACCACCAAAGTTGGGTGGCGGTGGCGGGGCTTAAACCTCAGACCATACGGTTCAGAGCACGCCGGTGATAGCAACTAAACCACTGTGCCACCACCACTCATGGTGGTGGTACTGCACTATTCCTTATTGTGTTGGAAAGTGTTGTTCGAATTGATCGTTTGTTTTACCGCAACAATTGTGTTTTTATGATTGGTCCGTATGCGAGTTTAATTTTGCCCGCCGAACAATTTGATTGGTTCAGGGTTATATATAAACGCCTGTGATTCCCTTTCCCAATGTGATTCGTGTCCAGCGGACTAGAGAAAATATAACGAGAGCATTTCCCCGAAGAACCGACTTTTGACACTTGACACTCCTTGGCCATCTAATCTGATCACTTTCGTAATCTGTTTTCGCCGATTGGCTCATCTTGTTCTGTTTGGACTGTAAGACCGAACCAACTTCTGCGTTGACCAATACCTGTCCAACGCTAACTAGTTAATGTGCTCGTTTAAATGCTCCTATGGGTGATAAACATCAGCAAATTATCGCTCCGGAGGACGTGTGTGTTCGAATCCCACCACTAGTACCGCCGCTTAATTTTCCCCATTCTCTCTCTGTGTGTGCTGTACGCCAGGCTTGACTGACCATATCATTCTTCCTGAAACTTGTATGATTTTTATCGCATTCAACAGAATAAAGTAAAATTAAAAAAAAGATAAAATATGTTTGTTCATTCATTGCACATCCTTTCGTGAACGACACTACTTGATATTGTGCGCCTAGCTTTTTACATCTGGAACGGCACGCCGGTGATAGCGAATCAATCCACTTGACCACAGGTACCGGTCAAATGAATCGCTCAGATGAATGTCCCCGACCGATATTCGTTTTTTTTTAACTGAACTTGACCTTTCCCATTTTCTTAGATCACTGACCGGAGAATAACTAAGTGAACAATTGTTCTAGGTTAATACAGCAGTACCGGAACAACGAAACTACACGCGGATAACAGAAAGACTGGTGAGCAAAGAACAGATTAATTAGATCAGCTTCGCTATGTATCTGTTTGTAGCTAGAACGAAAAACTGAGCAAAACACGAAACCCAACGGCCAAGAGATTGGATTGTATTGTACATCAGCTAAGAAAAGCCTAATCAACGTGTACAGAAGTGAAAAGATCACTCAGGACAATAAATAGGCAGATAGCACAAATATTGCCTACCTAAGCTAAGCAATACCATTGTCATGACAAGTCTATGTAGAAAATCAAACTTTATGACATGTATCATCTTGGTGATTAGTACCAGTTAGGAACAAGTTCATTCACCAAGGTTTACTGCAGTTAGTCAGATGGTTATTGATCTTCTTCGATCTTTGTCCTGTTTTGAGGGCCCCGAGATCATGGTCACCGATGGTGGGAGACACTGAGTAATATGATTGGGTGTCGCAAACAGTGGCGCCCGTGCAGCTACTCATTATTCTTTCAACACCAGTCTACAGGAATTCTTCATTTTTCGCTTGAATTTGCTTTCAACATTCCAATCTTTATTCCGCTAGTTTGTTCAAATGGGGCACCAAAACACAACAACCAAATCTGGCGCACGAAAGTGTGCATGGTTAATGGTTGTAAAAAACCTGAGAACTGAACCCCCCCCTATCCGAACAATGTGATTACTTGACAAACCACGTGCTACACCTGTTTGGATTTTTGAATTATTTCCGTCCCCACATATACAATCCTCGCCATGTTTGAGAATCTAACGAACAACCAAACGAAAAGCTGAAACACCAAATTTCATCAAATCATTTTTTATTATTACGAAAATTTATGGAAAATCCAATTAACCGTGACATCCTCCAACCGGAATTTAATACCTGGTGCATTGACAATTTAGTCTTAAAGCTTCCACACACCTTTTTTTTGACATATTCAGAGATTTCGAATCGTGTTCGTATTGATCCTATTTCACTTCCTAATCAAAGATGCTTCTAACTCGTGCTTTGTGGCATAAACGACTGTGGAGCGTTGGTACACCCTGTGGTTAAAAATAGCCCAGAATGTTTTCCAACGCGTTCTAATTTGAGCTACACATGGTTTTAATGAAACGAAATAATAACCGGCATTTTATTGGATACGCGATACAAACCGCCAAATGATGAGACTGGAAAACATGCTTCCGGACGAGCACTTGACGACGCCATTGCTGGCATAAGGTGCGGTTCCAGTGTACAACTACAAGCATCTAAATGTTGAACCCGTTGTGGTAGTACATCGAATTCCGTTGGACCACACCTTGAGAAGACACGGAGTTTCAATCGTTAATTCGGCTTCCTGAAACACTACTGCTCAGTCCGCAATTCCAAGCGTCCTTCTTTTCGTCCCTAAAAAAGACAAAATTCCGTTCGCTTTTGTGCGTTAAAGGCATTTCAGACCACAGTGAACGTTTTGCGGTTTGTGTAATCGTTCGACCCACGGATCTTCACGTCCAAGTGATCACTTCCAGTGTTCGTTCTATCGTTCGCATTGAAACGTCCAACTTAACTGCCACTGTTATCCCCGGTGCGTAAGTTACGGCCGTAAGAAGCAACTTCTGCTAACCTTTCCGGCATCTAATCCGTTCACGACTGTTTTAAAGCCGTTTTCATTGCACATATCGTGTCACAGTGGATCTGGATCTAGAACACTTCGTTTGATTATCTCACGTGAACTGACAATAACATCACAAAAAGTATCCATACTGGATCTATCCTGATAAGTGAGCCTCCTCTAAAGAGTCAAGGTTGACAACGTCTTGTTTCAGTTTCCCTTTTGGCAAACATTAACCCTGAACTTTCGTGCGCCGGTTTTGGTTGCTGTCTTTTGGTACCCCGTTTGGATAAAATTGAGATAAATTGTGTTGAGTGTGTAAAATTCATGCGAGGGTGTAAATTGCTTCTGCAGACAGTCTCATTGAGGTCAAATAGAATTTGACAAAATTCAACAGCTCCGCTGCTCATACTCAGACTCTGGAAAAAAAATAATGTAGATTACTAAATTTAGTAATCTTCGTATGCTTGTTCACGTTTGTTCACCATAATTGATTTACCCCATGTGCTATAGATTTGCCTGTTTTTTTTTAAGTCAGACCGAATGAGAAGATTAAACGAAATGTGAACATCTCGCGACATTTGTCTTCTTTCTGTTTTGATGATATGTGGATAGTTAAAACCACCACCACAAAGAGATAAGACAAAACAAAATTCACATTCTAGTTGAATTACTTTAGGCTTTGCCACGCATAGAACAGAATAGCTCGAAAAAGAGAGAGCGAGAGAATTGTCTACGGAATTCTGTGTGCATGAAACCGTGCATGTTGCAAAGCGAGGGAATAACTCACTTTATTATCGACCAGATAACCGGCAAAAATAGAGATCACACCCAATCCCAAATTCTGAATGGACTGGATTAGTCCGTAGGCAGTGGCACGTTGATGTACCGGTAACAGATAGGCAACCAGAGGCCACAAACTGCTTGCCAGGACGGAATAGGCTATTCCCATTGTGATCATGATCACCATCGGTGGTAGACCGCCAGAGGTGAATGCGAAACACATGTGACAGACTAGGGTGAGCAGAACACTGCCCAGAACCCAGTTCACATTACGCCCGGTGAAATCGATTGCGGCACCGAACAGTGGACTAGCCACGGCAGAGACAATGTATACCAGGCTGTTCACTACACCAGCTTGTGTAACGGGAAGATAGAATTTGCCTGTATCAGAAATGGGATGGGTGATGCAGACAAAACGATCCATGAGAAGAGAAGAGAAGAGGTAATCGCTCGGGAATTTCGTATACCAACAAACAGACAAACACTAACTGCTTCATTGACTGACTGGCCAACTGTAGCCAACTGACAAGCTGTAACTTTGTCACAAAATATCAGGAAGAAATTCGATTTGAAGAAATCACGAGACATGGTTAGACCATATCGCACACACAAAAATAAGCATCAAATGCTACTGTGAAACGATTTACGCAGCAAAGGTTGAGGAAATCAGGTAAAAAATTGCTAGAACTTGGTTCCCCGGGAACAGTACAGAGTTTGATTTGGTTCATCTGGCGAGGTGTGATGCCCGCAAAACTTGGATTGTGCAACATCGGGTACAGGCTAAATGAAAAAAGAAACCCAGGTTTGATCAGCTGTCTGGTAGTCAAGTGGATAGATAGCACACTAGAGTTCTACCTGTGCTGCGGTCGCGCGTTCGATCCCCAACTGTGTCGATGAATTTACACTGCTGATGAGACCCGATTAGGCCCAAAACAGCTGTACAGCATACTTCCCGACTTCTCAGCCTAAGCTTCATCTGCTCTGTACACGACAAAATTTCCTATACACTTGGCGGTCCTGTTTATTTTCTAAGGCAGCCCCCCCCCTGCGTTCTCGTGGCGGAGGTGTCACCATTGACGTGGGAGCGTAAAGGTGAACACACAGTTACTTAGCCTAAGGGAGCTGGTTAAAACCATGATCCAAAATCGCCCATACTTGGAGTAAGAAGCTTATAGAGGCACAAATCCTCGGCGTGAACCGAGCCGGTTTCCAAAGTTCACCTTTGAAGTCGACCAAGATGACGCTCACCGGCAAGTGCGCGGCTCAACGGCAACTCGAGTACCCTGGATAGTTGGCCATATCCGAAAGGCGTATAAACTGGTTATTGGCCAGTCACCGGCTTTCAGACGATCGTGGACTCCCTATTCCATTCCGCAGCCTTGTGGATCAGGTTCTTTAATCAGCGGCTCTGGGTAGGATCCCTCAAGAAAATTTTCTACTTCGGACTGGGTAACCGGGTAATATCACGCCCACAATCTAACCACGGACTTGTGCATTCACGCATGCCTCATACTTTTAAACTCACACAAAGCTGCCTATTCTCTAAATCTGCAAGCCACACTCCTCATCTCCCACACAACATACCCATTTCTCCACTATATGTCCTTTTTCGAATGGTTCCAATGACGTAGGTTCACGTTGTAACACGCCACTATCCTCCTCGATATCTGTCTCAGTAGTGCCTTGTAATTCGGAGCCTACCGTCCCATTCCTCGAACTTCACTTTGCGTTCAAACTGGCTTCGTTCAACGTAACAACTCTAATGCGTATAGGACGACAAGTTCTAGCTCGTACGTCTAGAGGTCGATGTGCGTTACTTATCAAAAACACGCATTCAGGATCCGAGCTCAGTAATCCCGTTGATGTCTTCCTCCAACCCAAAAGAGGCGTTTCACTTGCACGTTTCCGTGGACCCCGCCGCAACAGCTTCTACTCAAGCAGATGTTGGTACTACTTTAAGCGCCAGGGCTGGTGCTGCTTTATTGGATTGGATCTCGGTAGATAGACGACTATGCGCAGTGAAACTCCGAAGCTCAAGTGAAGTCAATAAGCAGAAATCAAACGAACGGTGGTTTCTGCATACACTCCCAGAGGCTGCAGTCCGGATACAGTCAAAGATGCCTTCTATCACAGCTTACATGAGATTCTTCGCAAAACACCCACGACGGATATCGTGACTCTCGTAGGAGACCTAAACGCAGGCGTTGGTTGTCTGTCGTCCGATGAGACCCATCTTGTTGGCCATTATGGCCTCGATAACTATCGTTCAGATAATGAGGATAAAATGCTTCGCATATGCTCAGAACACAGTGTTCTTCGTTAACGAGAGCTTAAGACACCCAAAGTGTCACCTTGCCACTTGGTGTAACCCCTCTTCGGCACAGATGTGGACTCGGATTTATCATATAGCTATTAGCTATAGATAGAGAGGATGTGTGAAAGACTGCCGTTCGTATTGGTCTACCTACATGGACTCTGACAAAGCACTGAANCTGAATTGTGCCAATTTGTCCATGCGCTTTGGTGGACCTACGTGACCCAGGAATCTGGGTCCCGTTAGGCCCCCTGGATGGGTACCTCGGGATGATCGTGCCCGATGTTTAGAGACACTGAGTGATATGGCTGAGTGTAGTAAACAGTGGCGTTCGTGCATCTTGCCAATTTCTCTGCAACATTAGTCCACTGAAATCCTTGATCCTGCTTTCAAACTTTCCTGTCTTCCTCCTCCTATCTTTCTCCTTATGTTCATTCAAATGGGCAGCCAAAAGACAGCAACCAAAACCGGCGCACGTTCCGGTTGTTCTGACAGACGCACAAAATGAGTTGGCCGCAAGACTAACTACTGCCTCACCAAACAGCGTATATCGACAACGGGAAACCATTCAAAAAGCAATGCACTCAGCTAGTTTCAGTTCAGTTTCATTTTGTACAACCATTAACCATGCACCGTCATGCGGCAGTTTGGGTTGCTATTTTTAGCTGCCCATTTGGATGAACAGTAAGAGAAACACGGGAGAGTTGAAAGAAGATTCAAAGGGGATACAATCGCAGAAAATAGAGAATTTGAGTGGACTAAGGTTGCAAAGAAATTGAGAAGCACTAACACCACTGTTTACGACACTCAGCCATATCACTCAGTGTCTCCAACCATGCAGTTCCGGAGTCTTTTAGACCCCAATGCGGAAGACGAGAGACGCCTACTCTACCTAATCGCTCTGTAACTTTCTTCATGCCTCGTCTCCACGTTATCTGCTGGCCTCCACGTGGCCTTCTCCTACCTGCAACAGCCACTGCGAATAAGGCGCGCTGAGGTAGGCGACCGTCAGATATAGGCAAAGCGTACCCCAACCAACGGAGCCTATTGCACTGCATTTGATGCGACAGCTAGTTCTTGTTCGATGCATCCACAAAACACCATATACTTCCAAGTTACTAACCCGGTCACTCCATCCCACTTGGGCCAAACTACGTGAGCATCGTGTCGAAAACCATTAAGCGACGGGTCTTCTACCCGCAAATTCAAGGTGGACGCTACCTGCAACCGAGACAGAATCAGCAGCTAGGTGTGAAAACACCCGGTAACTATTCCAACCCACTCATGCTACAGAATCGAAAAGACAGTGCGAAGTAGACGGCACGTAAATAAGTAGTCTTCACCGACGCTTGGAACGCTGGGCAGAACACATTACTGTTCAACCAGCGCAGGCTTCCCCAATTAGTTCTCCTGAGTGCATCCTGGTCACTATCCGTGGAACCGCTCACAGAAGCGGAGATCCATCAATTGCCCAAAACTGTGGAACTGTTTACTGAGATATGGAGTACCCGAGAGGTAGGTTCTTCTTCTCATGGTTAAATCACATCTTCATTTCCTGTCACCAGTGGAGTATAACAGCGTTACTTCATCTCTCCGTTTCTCTTTAATGTTGCCCTAGACGATGAACTGTAAAAAGCATTACTTAGAGCATGGTGGTTACAACGCACCGGCGACTCAAAACACGCTGAACCACTTGACAATTGAGGTTGCTCGTTATGGTATGTCCTTTGCACCTACGAAGTGCAGGAACCTGTTCCTGCACTATCGTTGCATAATCACACCCTGGAAGTAGTCGAAAGCTTTGTCCACCTCCGGAGGTGTGGGCGAAGAGATCTCTCAATGCGTGAGCAAAGCTAGATTAGCGTTTGCTAATCTACAGCATCTCCGTCACCGAGGCGACAAATGCCACTTTCACTGAAAGGGCGTATCTATTGCGCAACCGAACGTGACACGTCGCTCTACGGTCGCGAAACTTGGTTCATCCGAGTAGACCATGTCCAAAAACAACCGTTGTGTGCACAACATCGTTCGTGTATGATTTTTTTATCACACACTTTTCGTGTGATGAACAGCAGACGGGGCGAACCCCATCGTCACGAAGACCTGCTGTTCAGTGATGGAAACCGGTAACCTAAGCCCCGGGACTTGGAGTGGTGAAGCACATAAGGCCCCGATAGGTTAGGCGTGGTATTGAACCGGACGACAGCAAGGTTGCCTGCCACCAAAGTTGGGTGGCGGTGGCGGGGCTCGAACCT